AATAATAATAATAATAATTGAGTGAATATATGATAAAAGTATTTTCCTCACATTTTTGGAGAATTTTTTTTCTTTCCTGTCTTTTATTTTCATTTACGCATCCATATGTAAAAGTGCTATATAAATCCAAATAAAATCAATTCAGACTGAATAAAATTTTGGGAATGGGGGCCAGCCAGGTGGTGTGGTGGTTGAAACAGCTGGATTCCACATGACCAATGGCACAATGCCAGTCCCACACCTAGCGGCTTAAAAAATATTCCAGGTACATGTACATGCCTTTCCAAAATGCCACGAAGAGAATGGAGAATGGATTGCAGCACAATCACACCCCCTCTTTCTTTCCCTTGTCTCTTTCGATTTTTTATTTTCTTTTTCTTTTTTTTTTTTTTAAGATTTCATCAGCTCCCACCATCTTGACGATCGTCCAGACAGCTGGAAAGAGAACACGGAGTAGAAAGGGCACAGCCCCACCTTTGGAAAGCAGGGCTTGAAATTTTCACACATTGTGTCTGCTCACATTCCTTAGGTGAGAAGTACACAAACACAGCAATGCACAAGGTGATCTAGGAAGTGTAATTATTAACCTTTACCAAAAATTGCTGCCGAGAATGTTTAGAAGAGATTTGGGGAGGCAGCTGGCACCAGGGGATGCCCCTTTATTGTTTCTGCTGGATCTCCCTCCTGGGGCTGGCCTCACATGCTTCATGATCTTTGCTTATAAGCTTATATTTGTTTGTTCTTAGTCTGGGGGGATCTTGTGAACCTAAATAAAGAACAATTTCTTCCAGAGAAGGTTCGACCTGCTTTTGCCAGGAACCAAGAGGTTGATGGCTCTGGCCTGAAGTGAGAGTCGTCCTTGCAGTTCTCCCCATCTACCGCCTGAGGGTTGATTTCCTTGTTGTAGTCAATCTACTAATACTTGCCATTGGAGACGACGCCATGTTTACCATTAGGTCACTGATCATGGCTCCCAGTTCTGATTCCAGTTCTTAGTTGTTAGTTTGGGGTTTTGTTCAGTTTGATGAGCAAACAAAATTTCCCTTACTTTTTGGGATTCAGCAATGCTTTTTATTTATTTATTTATTTATTTTTGGAGAGGTTTTTGCTATATAGGTGCTCTCCAGAAAGACAGAGACAGAGACAGAAAGCGAGAACTCACCCCCCAGGGGGGATGGCCACGCTGTAATCCCTTCTCCTCCATTCTCCTCTTGGGATCTTGGGCACACACGCATGCACACACGCTCCCAGTGTGAGTTTAAGCCACCGGGTCCAGGACTCGAACTGCAGTTCACTATATGGGAGTCCAGCGACATAGCCATTATGCCAACTGCTGGTCCCAGCAATGCATTTAAAGGTATGTCCTAACTAGGATTATTTCTTTTATAGTAGAAAGGAGTTTCAGGGAGTATGTCCAGCAAAGTACCTGACCAGAAATGTCCCATTCGTCCCTCAATTTACATCAAGGATGGCTTTTTTGCTACCTTTCCAGCTCATCAGTCGCCAGTAACCTCTGTCTCTTTCTGGTGAGCACATACGCCCTCTGGCAATTAAATAATAATAATAATAATTGAGTGAATATATGATAAAAGTATTTTCCTCACATTTTTGGAGAATTTTTTTTCTTTCCTGTCTTTTATTTTCATTTACGCATCCATATGTAAAAGTGCTATATAAATCCAAATAAAATCAATTCAGACTGAATAAAATTTTGGGAATGGGGGCCAGCCAGGTGGTGTGGTGGTTGAAACAGCTGGATTCCACATGACCAATGGCACAATGCCAGTCCCACACCTAGCGGCTTAAAAAATATTCCAGGTACATGTACATGCCTTTCCAAAATGCCACGAAGAGAATGGAGAATGGATTGCAGCACAATCACACCCCCTCTTTCTTTCCCTTGTCTCTTTCGATTTTTTATTTTCTTTTTCTTTTTTTTTTTTTTAGAGAGATTTTTGCTATAGGGTGCGTGTGTTCGCCCGAAAGACAGAGAAAGTAAGAAATCACCCCCGGGGTGAGGGGAGGATGGCTACATCACAATCCCTTCTCCCCATCTCCTCTCAGAATCTTCAGTACACATGCACACACACCCGGCGTGTTTTAAACTGCTGGGTCCGGGACTCGAACCACAGTGGACTACTTAGGAGTCTAGTGACGTAACCATTATACCATCTGCTGGTCCCCCTATAGCAAATTTTTTAAAAAAGATTTCTTTTTTTGAAAGTGTTGATTAAAGAAGGAATTGGGAACTGGAGTTGCTTCATCCTTGTACCTTGCACCTCTGCGGCACTAATCTGTGAGGGTGAAGGTCTCAGTGAGGCCTGCTCTGCTCTCTCCCGCCTCCACCTCCTGCACTGTTGATCCATCTTACTTGGTTCATCTGTTTCCTTTTCCCATTCTTATCCCCTGCTGACATAGCAGATACTTACAGTTACTGTTGGTTGTGTCCTCCGATTCCCAGCCTTCCCTGGGCCACTGTGAGCTTCTTGAAAGCAAAGATCCTATTCTTTTTTTTTTTCTTTTCTGGTACTAAGTAGGTGTTCAACCAATTGTGCAATAAATGAATGAATAAGTGTCTCAAAGGAGAGAAAGAAATCAGAATAGATTCTAAACTTTCCCCTACTTCCTTTTTTAAAAATTCGTCAGGGGGACCAGCAGCTGGCATGGTGGTTAAGGTGCTGGACATTTCCACATGGCTGATCGCGGCTCAAATCCCAGACCTGGTGCCTTGCTTTCTCACTTTCTCTCTCCCTCTCTGATCAAATTAAAATAAATGAATTAATAAATAAAAATTAAATAAACAATTATTTTTAAAAAATTTGTCAGAAGGCACATACATGCTCCACATCTCAGATTTGTCTCTTGACAGAAAGTGAGAGAATGCACCCCCATAGGAAATGGTCACACCACACTCCCTTCTCCTCGAATTCTCCCTCCTTTTGGGATTTTGGACATGCATGCGCTTGCACCCAGCATGTTTTTCAAGCCACCAGGTACAGGATTTGAACTGTGTAGCTGGCTATGTGGAATCCAGCTCATGTAAACTCCAAGGCACAGGCCGGCTCAGATTCTTCTTTTCCTCAAGTTTTTTTAGATCAAGGTCACCCCCATGTTTGCACAGTCTAAGTCCCTAGATCCAGATATGAACTCCCCATGAGGTATTATGTAAATGTTTACTGGTTTACTCATCCTCACAGTAGTTTGACACATGTATTTATTAAGTCATCCTGTTGTGTGCCTCCTAATGTTTTGTATGTACCTTTGTTCACCTGAGAGCTTGCATTGGGAGGAATTTAGCTGATATGAGGAGGGTCATCAAAAGTGCATATTATGGGGAACCAGCAGTTAGCGTAACCATGAACCATGCAGTCCAGCTATGTCGCTGGACTCCCACGTAGTCGACCGCGGTTCGCGTCCCAGACCCGGTGGCTTAAAACTCACGCCGGGCGCGTGTGCATGCGTGCCCAAGATCCCGAGAGGAGAATGGAGGAGGAGGGATTGCAGCGTGACCATCCCCCCTGGGAGGTGATTTCTCGCTTTCTGTCTCTATGTCTCTCTCTGTCTGTCTGGCGAGCGCACGCACCCTATAGCAGAAAAAAAAAAAAAACCTCTCCAAAAAGAAAAAAAAAATGCATATTATGAAAAATGATATATGGATTTAAAAAATGTTTGCATCCATTTCCCCACAAACTGTTGGAAGTTCTCTCATATTTTCAACATCATGATAGGATAAAATTTGATGAAAGTGAACTCCAGCATGTAGAAATTATAAGTCATGACATATTTTTCTGTTTTTTTTTTTTTTTATATACTAAGTCATGACTTTCCCAATGACCCAGTATTTTCTCATTTCCTGTATAAGTAGAGACCACTTTCCTCACCCCTGAAGGGAGCCCAGCAGTTGTTTAAATGATGATAAAGTTGAGATACACTTAAATGTATCTTTAGGCAGGTACTGGGAGGGGGGGCCAGGTTGTGGTGCAGTGGTGAAACGTGGCACTCAGAGGCACAGCCACGTGGAAACGCTCTGGGCTTGCCTCTGGACACCTCCCTGAGGACACCTGGCACATGTGTGTGTCAGGCACACGTGTGTGTCATGCAGCACTAGACAGCCGGAGCGAGACCTTGTGAGAGTATGTCTCTGGATCTCTCTTACTCATGGAATTAATGAATAAACTTTAAAAGAAAAGTGCTGGCGTATAAGAACAAGTATTACAGCTTTCAGAGGGGCACAGCCACTTCAAAACCTGCCCCATCAGCAGCTGTGCTTCTCTGTAATTTCCAGTTTTCTCGGGATTCTGAAGTTCAGATATTCTATTCTGGTTATTTTATTTATTTTTTTTTTACAAGCCTTGTCATTGTCATTGAAACATCCCCTCTCCCTAGTCCTTCAAAACATCCGCAGAGGGAAATTTTTCTTTAGGAAGTGCAATAATCTCGGGTCTTTTCTTTGAAACCACTGTGGAAGAGAAATGAACTCCCTTCCCCTTGAATAGTGGTGCTTTTAAATTGCCTGGGGGTGGTTACACGGGAATCTTCATATAAACTTGTATCTCTCTCATTTAAAAGAAAAGATGAAGAAAAGGAATTAGCCATTAATTATTTAAAATACTTGGTTCAACTGTTCCTGTGAATTAATCCAGGCACTTGGAAGACAATTACACTCTGTGTTAATAACATTGCCAACCTTTTCCAGTATGCTGCACTCCAAATACTATTGTGTTTTCATTGACAACATTCACTATTACATATGCATATGAAAAACAGGCATTTTCATCAGAATTACCGTAATAGCATTAAGAGATTATTATTTTTTCCAATTTCCTTGGAAGAAAATTCACTTATATTACATTGTGTATTACTTGACTGCTCTGCTATCTTGCCTGTAACGTTTAGGTAACTGAAGTCTGTGAAAGTATAAACTTCAGAATAAAAAGCACGATTTTATACATTAATGATTTCGAATAAAAGAGGAGTGCTACGTTTGTGCATCACTTCTTTTGAGAAAGTTAAGTCTGTGTTCTGCTTAGGAGAGATAACACTTTTTGTCCCTGTAGGTGGCCCCCCTGGTGTAGCCATTAGTTGCTAATTACTTGCAAACAAATAAACAATTAACTCCTTAAGCTGCTGGCTGGGCAAGTGTTCATTGACATGCTAAAACTTTCTAAGACAGGATTTTAATTAGTGACGTTCTAAATCCAGCCCCCTTGTCAGCAGAGCTATAAGGTGAACTGCAGGAAGATCTCAGCCCTACACACGTGGGGCTGAGCCAGCAGAGGCCGGAGCTGTGGCTCTGCACAGCCCTTGAGAGGATGTCTCCCAGCTTTCAGGAAGGTGTGCGGCTTGGAGAAAGCAAGCCCTCACCCAGCTCCTTTTCAATTGAGAGCATCTTAGGACTGGACCAGAAAGAAGACTGTGTTCCATCAATGACGCCCCACAGGCCCTGGGCTGATACCTGCAGCTCCTCAGGTATGTTACAGCTTCATTGTTTAAACTCTATTTCATTTACAGCATTTAGTTAGACTTTTATTTTAGACTATGGAGAGTTAGGAACTTCCATTTTGTCTAGATACGTAACTGAAGCATCTAAGACTTTTAAGTCGAGTCCTATGGAAGATAAAAAGAATACACCAGCTTTAGATCCAAGTGGGTGTAAAGTTCACTCACATCAAATCCCAAGAAATTGCATTTATTTCATATCTGTGTTTTTTGACACCTCAGTTATTCTAAATCTGATTTCACTGAAAAATAAATGACATCAGGAACCAAAATACTGTTTTAAGGCAAGATCTTCGTTTTGGATGGTTTTTGGTTGGTGAGGGGACCATTCTCTTATGAATCCCAGAGTAATTCCACCAGGAAAATAAAAGGCAAGTTCCTGGAATTACTTCTTATAGAACTTTGTGGAACACAGGATTGGTCATCTAAGGCAGGTTCATTTTTCTGTTTTTAGGGACAGACGGGAAACTCTGTGTGCCTGTT